CTGTCTCTCTTGTCTAGTGCTCTGATCTGTGGGGTTGTTTCCCTTGTGCTCTGGTCTGTGGGTTTGTTTCCCCTAGTGCTCTGATCTGTGAGTTTGTTTCCCCTAGTGCTCTGATCTGTGGGTTTGTTTCCCCTAGTGCTCTGATCTGTGAGTTTGTTTCCCCTAGTGCTCTGATCTGTGGGTTTGTTTTCCCTAGTGCTCTGATCTGTGGGGTTGTTTCCCCTAGTGCTCTGATCTGTGGGTTTGTTTCCCCTAGTGCTCTGATCTGTGGGTTTGTTTCCCCTAGTGCTCTGATCTGTGAGTTTGTTTCCCCTAGTGCTCTGATCTGTGGGTTTGTTTCCCCTAGTGCTCTGATCTGTGGGTTTGTTTCCCCTAGTGCTCTGATCTGTGGGTTTGTTTCCCCTAGTGCTCTGATCTGTGGGGTTGTTTCCCCTAGTGCTCTGATCTGTGGGGTTGTTTCCCCTAGTGCTCTGATCTGTGGATTTGTTTCCCCCTAGTGCTCTGATCTGTGGGTTTGTTTCCCCTAGTGCTCTGATCTGTGGGTTTGTTTCCCCTAGTGCTCTGATCTGTGGGTTTGTTTCCCCTAGTGCTGTGATCTGTGGGGTTGTTTCCCCTAGTGCTCTGATCTGTGGGTTTGTTTCCCCTAGTGCTGTGATCTGTGGGTTTGTTTCCCCTAGTGCTCTGATCTGTGGGTTTGTTTCCCTAGTGCTCTGATCTGTGGGTTTGTTTCCCCTAGTGCTCTGATCTGTGGGTTTGTTTCCCCTAGTGCTCTGATCTGTGGGTTTGTTTCCCCTAGTGCTCTGATCTGTGGGTTTGTTTCCCTAGTGCTCTGATCTGTGGGTTTGTTTCCCCTAGTGCTCTGATCTGTGGGGTTGTTTCCCCTAGTGCTCTGATCTGTGGGTTTGTTTCCCCTAGTGCTCTGATCTGTGAGTTTGTTTCCCCTAGTGCTCTGATCTGTGGGTTTGTTTCCCCTAGTGCTCTGGTCTGTGCGGTTTGTTTCCCTAGTGCTCTGATCTGTGGGTTTCTGTCCTTCGGTGTTCGGATCGGTGGATTCATTTTCCCTGTTACTGTAATAAGATTAGTGAATTTCTTTTCTCTATTATTCTGATAATGGCCTTCCTGCACCTATTGCTGTTTTATTAATGGCATTCTTCTTGTTAAATTTGTTGTAATGGTCATGTGTCAAAAATAATTACACAGACATTTAAGTTAATTTTAATTACACAGATTTTTAATTTGTTTTTGTTTTTTAGTTTCACATGCTGCTTAATTACACTGTGAGGGAGCTGTGTCGGCTCCCTGAAGCTATCATACTGACATGTGCCATATTAGTTTGGTGCCATCGGTCCTATGAGTTCTAGTGCCTACCGGGACCACAAGCCAGAACCTGGCTCCCCTCTGACAAGTGCAGGGAGCAATGGCCATATGAGCACTCTACATTTAGAGTATAGTCATGTCTGCCATCGACCAGGGATACCACCAGAAAGGTAGGCGAGACATTACAAACCTCCAACAGGTTAAAATTGCAACCTACGTCTGATCAGAGCCAAAGAATTCCCCACAAAAGAAACCAAAGAAACAATCAAATCGTCATCCAACTAGCGCGCCCGCTCGTTAGCGTCTCCGTTAGGGGGATGGTAGAGAGAGCCCGCTCAGGCGAGCCAGCCGCTCCACCCTAAGTTTGAGTGATGTGCCAGTGTTCATAAATCCTCCCAGGCCTCGAATTCTTGATTGGCTTTGGCGTTCATGGCTTTGCCAGAATTGTGTAGTGTGGTGGCCAGATATTCTCTAAATGTACCGGACTGCATGCGCCTAGGGCTATCTTCCCTAGGTACCCGTAAGTACTTTCCCTGCGTGTCGGGGATCTCTTCCCGGGAGCGTTCGAGTCTCACTCCCATTTGAGGGCTTCGTTGTTTGATATTGTTCTCGCCCTTGGGGTACGTCAGGGGTCTTGGTTGTCCTGTCTTTTCCCAGGTAGGGAGTGGGTTTTTGTTGGGTGTGGCTTTGTTGCATGCTATGTACTCTTTGTTGAAATGAACCAGATTGGTTGCCTGATTGGAAGCCCCGAAGCTGCCCCACTAGGGTTTTTAGGACCAGGATTAGGGGACGTTGGTTACTTCAACTGTGGTTCCTTTTTCCCCTGCTTCTGGCTCCCAAACATCTGAGGTTTTCGGTCTGAGACAGGGTGTAGCTGCGGATGAGGCTCAGATAGCTTCAGAAATTGCCCCTTCCGATTCGGGGACAAAGGTTGAGCCCGATTTTCCCGCCGAGGCTTCGGAGTCGGCCCAGCAGGCTTCTTTCAACCCAGCACTCTTAACTCGTGGACGCTTTTTGGCAGGATTGGTCAGGGTGGGGGGTTCCTGTACCTTTATCCCCCAGTCCAGCTGTTGCCTCTGGGTGTTAGTTCGGTTCATATCCAATCGGGGGCGTGTGCTTCTCCTGACCCCAATGTGGCTGGCCCAGCCTTGGTTTCAGGCGCTGCTTACCTGAGAGTTTTCTGTGGCTCTGCCTCTATTAGCAGGTAGGGCCGGTTAGGTACCTCCCTGGTTTGCCCTACTCTTCCGCTCTTTGCATTTGGTCTTTTTGATGCGGGTGTATCGCCTTTTCTCTGGTGATCAGGTGGCTTCTTTGACGATGTCCCACCTACGGTCTTCCTCTCCGCGACAGTATGCAGTCTCCTAGCAATCTTTGCGTCTCATCGGTGTCTGTTCCGGTTCTTTTGTCCTTTCTTTCTTGGCTTTTTAGGACTGGAATCTCGTGCCAAATACTATCTCTTCTTATCAGACAGCATTGACAGAGCCGCTCCAGCTTGCATTCAGGGTGGATGTCACCTCCAGGCTGCTCATGTGCTGCTGGAGCCTTTTTGGTCTTTGGACCGGGTGCTCTCATTTTTCTCCTCTCCTCAGTTTGTAGTGGCCCCTTCTGTCTGGGTTTGTTTACTGACAGCCTTGTTCTTGTTGGCTTTAGCCTCTGGTGGTCGGGTTGGGAGCTTCACACTCTTCTCCGATGCCGGGGTTTCTGATCCTTTGGTCCTGGGGGCCGTTCAGTTGGTTTTTGCAGCCTTCTCCTTCTTTTCTGGCAAAGAATGAGATGGCGGGCTTCCAGAGGCGTCCTTGGGTTGTTGATGGTTGGTCAGGCCGATGCTTGGTCAGGCTTGGTGCATCAAGTTTCATGTCCGGTTGCGGCTTTCTGTCAATACCTGCATGCCACTTGTTCACCGACGGTTGGACGTGCTCTGGTTTCTCTGGTGTCCTGTTCCAGGGCTCATCTCTCTCAGGCTGTCCGCAGGGTTATCTAGTCTAGCCAGCCTGCAGTCTTCCCTTGTGCCCATGATGTGAGGACATATGTCAATTGCAATCACAAGTCGATTGCAGACATGACTATACTATAAATGTAGAGTGCTCGTATGGCCATTGTTCCCTGCACCTGTCTGAGGGGAAGACGGGGTCTGGCTCGTCGTCCCTGGTAGGCACTAGAACTCCAAGGACTGATGGCACCAAACTAATATGGCACATGTCAGTTTGATAGCTTCAGTGAGCCTTCGGAGCTCACCCAGAAAATGGCGTTCCATTACATTCAACGCTGATTTTTTAGCTTTTCTTCCTTAAACACAGTGCCACTTTTATTTCACCAGTCATTACACTTCTCTTTTGCATGTGCGTGTGTGTGTGTGTGTGTGAGTGATTACTGTATATGTATTTTATGTGTATTTATATTTAATATTTTTTGTCCTCCATAGATTCAGTATCACAGAGGAATTTTTCACAGCATCCATTCGTAGCCGAATAGTTGACTTCATCTTGAGAAGAAAGAAATTTAAAGATTCAGATGATGACGATTTTGCATTTGGCATCGAGAAACTACTGAATGAGAGCACCTACGCTGCAGCTTATCCCATTCATGAGGTGAGTGGCCAGGGCTCTCGCCTGCGTGAATGATGGTACCTCCACTCTTTTCATTCCTGAAGTCTATTATTATAATACTGTTAATATTATTAATGCAGTATATTATTATACTGTATAATTAGCTTGTATATAGGACAGTTCAGAGTCCCTTTGTTCAATTGGCAGCATTCATCTCTGAAATGCTCCCAATGCTTACATTTTTGGATGTTTTGGATGCCTACATGTACATATGTCTCCCTGTTCTTCCCCAAGGTTCCCTCCCTGCATTGAGGCAGACTTCCTGCTGCTACTTTTCTTCACGCCAATTTTATTACCACTACAGCAGCCCACATGAGCCCTGCCCTTGTTGTACCAAGGGAATATGCTCATGCACTCTTTAAGTTTAATGTGTAGCTCACACAGTAAGCTTAGAGTGCATTTCAAAAGCATTTTGTCAGAGTAGCATGCTTGATTATTCCCATTATGTGTTTTCTATACAGGTTTTGGCACAGGAGTAGGTGGCTTGTGACATGTTAGCAGGGTTAGAGCTTTCCCTTACCATGCCATAAGCCATTCCCTTACTAGTTTTCCCTGCTTCACAACCTGCCAATTGGCTTGCAACCAGGTATCCAGTAACTGCTGGGTGAACAGGGGCAAACAGTTAAGGATTGGTGCCCAGTGAACCCCCTCCTTGGCTAGGGCAGAAAATTGCTCTCTGTGTCACAGTTCTGTTATTCTTTCCCTGCCTCTCCTCACTGTGCTACAGGACTCGGTCTTTCCCTGCCTCTCCTCACTGTGCTACAGGACTCGGTCTTTCCCTGCCTCTCCTCACTGTGCTACAGGACTCGGTCTTTCCCTGCCTCTCCTCACTGTGCCACAGGACTCAGTCTTTCCCTGCCTCTCCTCACTGTGCCACAGGACTCAGTCTTTCCCTGCCTCTCCCCACTGTGCCACAGGACTCGGTCTTTCCCTGCCTCTCCTCACTGTGCTACAGGACTCGGTCTTTCCCTGCCTCTCCTCACTGTGCCACAGGACTCGGTCTTTCCCTGCCTCTCCTCACTGTGCCACAGGACTCGGTCTTTCCCTGCCTCTCCTCACTGTGCCACAGGACTCGGTCTTTCCCTGCCTCTCCTCACTGTGCTACAGGACTCGGTCTTTCCCTGCCTCTCCTCACTGTGCTACAGGACTCAGTCTTTCCCTGCCTCTCCTCACTGTGCTACAGGACTCAGTCTTTCCCTGCCTCTCCTCACTGTGCTACAGGACTCGGTCTTTCCCTGCCTCTCCTCACTGTGCCACAGGACTCAGTCTTTCCCTGCCTCTCCTCACTGTGCCACAGGACTCAGTCTTTCCCTGCCTCTCCTCACTGTGCTACAGGACTCAGTCTTTCCCTGCCTCTCCTCACTGTGCCACAGGACTCGGTCTTTCCCTGCCTCTCCTCACTGTGCTACAGGACTCGGTCTTTCCCTGCCTCTTGTCTTTTGGTGGTGATTTTCTCTTATCCTGGGACTCTTATCCTGGGACTCTTATCCTGGGACTCGTGTGGTTGTGAGTTGATTAAATTTGTGAGTTGGTGTAAAGGAATTTTCTGTGCACATTATGAATGGGATTGAGCATACTCCAGTGTTTCTTGAGCATCATTATAACTCCGCTGTGGCAGTTTGAAAAGTTCCCTGCTCATCTGCCATGGAATGTTAACCTGTTGTGGTTGTGGCAGAGCCTTACCAAAGATCACTTGTGATCTTGCCTTAGTGAGCAGCCTAGTGTATGCCTCAGAAAAAAGGTCTCACGTACTCTTAAAAATGGGATTCCTGCTTGATACCTGCTTGATGGGGGTTCTGGGAGTTCTTCTACTCCGACTTGTGAGAGTTTGGTCCAACAGGCTGTTGCTTGGAGCGGCCCGCAGGCCCACATACTCACCACAGCCCGGTTGGTCTAACACTCCTTAGAGAAAATTATCTAGTTTTCTCTTAAAAATGTCCATTCGTGTCAAGGTTTTGTGTGTTTAGCCCCAAGGCCTTACTTCCTCCCAGGAGCTTCCCTTTAGTGCAGTAGTTCCCAACCTGTTTGGGAACGGACGTATTTTATGACACTCAAAACGAGACCTACCTGTTGGGAACCTTTGCTTCAGAGTGTGGCTACAGCAGACTTTCCTCCAGAGGACACTTGACATCACACTCTCACACACTATTCACTCTTTAATGCTCTATGACCCCTTTCTCAACTCTTTCATACGTTGTTCCACTTTGCTCTTCTGACATTTGATGTGAAGTTTTGGGGACGTGGGAGGATATGGCATCATCTTATTTATAGATGAACTGGTGATTTTGGTAAATGCCGTGTGATGTACTGCATTTTGTTAATTTTGATGTACACGTTTCTCGGTGCAATACAGTTATAACAATGTTTTATGTGAAAATCAACTGGAGCTCTGAGATAACTCGAACCCTCGACTGAGAGAATCCTAGACACTGATGCTAACCACTGGACCATCTTGACTTGATTCGCGTCAGCGGCTGGGAGTCTCGGTCGCGGGTTTGAGTCACCGGTGAGCTGGTGGCTAAGCGGACAGAACACTGGACGCATGATCCTGTGGTCCCGGGTTCGATCCCGGGCGCCGGCGAGAAACAATGGGCAGAGTTTCTTTCACCCTGATGCCCCTGTTACCTAGCAGTAAATAGGTACCTGGGAGTTAGTCAGCTGTCACGGGCTGCTTCCTGGGGGTGGAGGCCTGGTCGAGAACCGGGCCGCGAGGACACTAAGCCCCGAAATCATCTCAAGATAACCACCACACAGAGCTCCAGTGTATTTTCTCATCGATATTGATCATGTTAGTGTGATTTCTCTGTGTAAATGTTGTATGGTGTCCCTTACAAACGTTCTGACAACTGGAACTATATCTTTTCATTAGATTATTTTTCCTCCAGGACCAGATTCAATTTAAACAAGGCTCTGTTGTATATATATACATCCAGTACTTTACATATGTTCATTTTATCCTCTGCACCATGACTGTTTGCTGCTGTTTATCATATTTTTTCCATGTTCCATATTCTCCTGTAATTCATTTTATTATTTACTACTTCTATTCGTTCATTTTGTTGTTGTGATTGTCATATTGATAAATGACAAGGTACGCACCAGTTTGGTGAGTACCTTGTCATTCATCCAGAAAATATGATAATTTTTTCAAAAGTTTGAATTTTAGGTTCAATGAAGTCACAAGTACATGATGTATCTGGGAGAAAATATTGAGGTCGTATTCTGGGATCGAACCTGCAATATTGTCGTGCATTTGCCTGGGAAGTCGAGGCGTGTGGGACCGTTTCCTTCATACGGCCTCAATATTTTCTCGGGTTCAGGGTGTGTAACATTGTTAGTTGATCCAAACATGAACACTTTCTAGGGAGACCTGCACGAAGGTGACAACGAGCGCTCGCTCCTTTACAACCACTGGGCCGCCGTGAGGAACTTCTACAAGTATCAGCCTTTGGACTATGTCAAGGACTATTTTGGAGTGAAGATTGGCCTCTATTTTGCCTGGCTTGGCTTCTACACATATATGCTGATTCCTGCATCAATTGTTGGCCTCTTTTGCTTCTTGTACGCCGTCTCCACTGTCAATGATCATCCGCCCAGGTGAGACACCATCCCACACCTCTGTTATGCCTTAGGGTAAGTTGCCAAATACAGCCACTTAACATGAGTCATTGTTGTTGATTTTGGATTTGAAAATATTAATAATTCCCTTGTGTAAGCTCAGTGTTACACAGCACAAGAGGAGACATTTTCCTCTAAAATAACATGCCAGTCATGTCTGTAGATGCAATCTTTATTTAGATATTAACCAAAAGATGTAGGTTGTGGGGAAATATTAGTGGCCATTGTGTAGAACAGACTCGGTGAAAGACAGAGGCAGAACAGTCTGGTAAGGGAGTCTGTGTAGAACACTCAAAATGCCCATCGCAAGTACTGCACAAGTTATTGTCGTTTGTCTACTAATATAATACATGCTGTTTGGGATCTGCTTTTGTTGACTTCTTGCTGTTTTTATGTATAGTTGTCATCCTTTTTATACATCAGTGAAGTGAATAGTAGGGTGAGCATAGGTACAGAGTTTAACGTAGTGTTGGAGAGGAATGCAGGTATTGTGACTGGTGCAGTGTGGGAGGGGGGCTTGCACATTATGATGAGCTTCTTGCTATGTGGGAGTGTGTGTTGAGGTGCTGGGATTGTTGCAATATGTACTCACCTAGTTGTGCTTGTGAAGGTTTAGCATTTGGCTCTTTGGTCCCTCCTCTCGACTATCAATCAACTGGCGTACAGATTCTTGAGCCTGTTGGGCTCTATCAAACCTACATTTGAAACTGCGTATGGAGTCTGCCACCACCACATCACTGCCTAATATGTGAGAGGTGGGTGAAGGGAAGAGTCATACTCTGAACTTGTTGAAATGTGTGAGTTAGATGGATAAAGCAAGCAATAAAATAATGTTACTGTATTTGTTATTTTCAGTAATGACATCTGCAACAACTACCTGAATATCACCATGTGTCCATTGTGTGATCACTTCTGTGACTACTGGAGCCTCGAGGAAACCTGCTTCCATGCCCGATTTACGTACTTGGTTGACAACCCGGCTACTATCTTTTTCACAGCTTTCATGTCTCTCTGGGGTAAGAGTAACTCCAAAACAGTGTGTGTAAAAGAGGCCGATTTGGTGGTGGTTGTAATGAATGGTGTGTTTGCCTCATTTTCAGCAATCCGCGTAGATGCCAGTTACTTTGTGGCATGTGTAGTGATGTTTATTTTAAGGAAGGTTAGAGATAAAGTCATCAATTATATTATAGATTGGTACTAAAGGACATGGTAACAGAATTATTGCAGAAGTTATTTTAGGCTCTTATCTTTCAAATATAAAATTTGTGCTTAAATATAAACATTTGTTATGCAATTTCCACCTTTCGTGGGGGAGCATCAACTCGGATGAAAATGAGAAATGATATGACGAAAGAAAGCTAAAAATACAGTATTACGGAAAAAACTTTGCAAACGAGTTCACGACACAGTTTTCCTAACCCATCAAAGTCTGTGCATGAAAATAACTTCACACGAGACCAGGAGCCATGGCAGGATGTGCGAAATAGCCTAATTAAAAAGCAAAGGTGCATTAGGGAGCCGGTCGGCCGAGCGGACAGCACGCGGGATTTGTGATCCTGTGGTCCTGGGTTCGATCCTGTGGTCCTGGGTTCGATCCCAGGCGCCGGCGAGAAACAATGGGCAGAGTTTCTTTCACCCTATGCCCCTGTTACCTAGCAGTAAAATAGGTACCTGGGTGTTAGTCAGCTGTCACGGGCTGCTTCCTGGGGGTGGAGGCCTGGTCGAGGACCGGGCCGCGGGGACACTAAAAAAGCCCCGAAATCATCTCAAGATAACCATCTCAAGATAGGTATGCTGCTAGAGAACTCGATCAACATTAAAGGTCCAAAACTTTTCAACACACTCCTGCTACACATGAGAATTCAAATGATCGAGTTTGAGTTCAAACTCGAGTTTATCGAGTTCAAATGAGAACTCGATAAACACCTCCAAAGTATACCTTATCAACCAGGCTGTGATTGATATATCAGGCTGCCAGTAACCACATCCAGTTGTCTAGTTGATCCGACCACCGACCAGGAGGCCTGATCAGAGAACATGCCGCAGGGTGGTTGAGCCTCGGAACCATCGCAACGTAACTGCAAAACCACCACCTTGATAATGCTGGAAATGTGTTGATGATTGCACCATACAGCATTGAGATGAGTGTGTTTTGCCCGTTTCCTGTGGTGAAGATGGGGTCTTGTATGCCTTGCTTCCTGTTAGCTCTCTCATGGATGGCTTCTCACATTCCCTGTCCACCTGTCCAAGACTTTTCCCATTCACTTTTGGACTTTGGCACCCTGGATGGTCGCTAGACTTAAGAGAGCGGATTTTAATGTTGTTTAAATCCCCAAAGGATTTCGGTTCATATCATTATCGATTACTAGCCAAGTCAACCACAAGTCATCCGTCCTGTGCATTGGCCATGGATTTGGTTCTGTACATTTGGGCTGGTGCAATAGAATCCCAAACTACGAAGAGATGAAGCCAGAGGGCTGCACCAGCTCAAAACAATGGATACAACCTCCTGAAGTTTAGACTCAGGAAATACCTGAGGGTAGTTGCGGGATTAGAAACTGGGTTCTTTATTTATGGAAGAGATTACCAGGTAAAATAATAGGTGCCAGATTATTGTGTACTTTTAAGTGTTAGACATGTACTTATATGAATGAGTTTCAGTGGGTGTAAATATGAGCCGCCTCATGTGGACCAATAGGCCTTCTCCAGTATCGTTATTCTTATGTTCTTAAGTAGTAATGTCTACCCTTGTGTATCCTATGGAGTAAGAGGGTCTGCACGATCATGGGCAGAGAAACGTGTGTACCCTTGTGTAGTCTATAGATGTGAGAGACTAAATGTGTGGCATGAACACAGAAACGTGTAGTGTTTGGACGGTGGATTGAGGAACAGTTGAAAGTACCATTGATGTGGAGCACATGTCAGGAAATTGTTAGAGTGAGGTGGATATTTTCTGGGGGGAGCCCCATCGGCTCCCCAGAGCTTACTAGGTTGATATGCTAATGTCAAACTTTGGCATCAGTCATGTGTATGGAGTTCTGTGGGCCTATCGGGGACCACGAGCCAGAACCTGGCCCCCCTCAGAGAGGCATGGGGAGCAATGGCCTATAGAAACCCCCCGTGTGGTAGGACACATTCTATGTCTGCCATTGACCCGGTCAGGCACCCAGAAAGGTAAGCATTCCAAAACAAACCCCTATTCTGGTGAAAATATTGCTACAAAAGCTGAACAAGTGGATAGAACTCCCCTAAAAGGAATGAGCAAACGAGCATGACATCACACGTCACTGGGCCGCTGTCTGCGCAGCTCCCCCTTCCCTGGGAGGGGGAAGAGGGAGCCTCAGACCCTCCACGCTGGCTATCCACCAGTCAGTTCTAAGGCTGATGCTATAGGCAGAGGTCGTGTGCTCTGGCTACAGTGGTTTTTCAGCACTGTGCTTTGAGTGTGGTAGCTGTCTTCCAAGGGTGTGAGAGCCAGGAGTTATTCTACAGTACTCAGGCTGCATGCACCTAGGCTTACCTTCTCTAGGTGCCCTGTAAGTACTGCCCTTGGGGGTTGGGGTTACCTTCCACAAGTTCCTTGGGTCGTGCCTCTGTTGGGCTGTTTCACTGCTCGTTTTTTTGGCCGCCCTTTGGGTGCTTGGGTGTTTTGTCACCCTTGTTTACCTTAGGGTAAGAAGCAGTTTGCACTGGTGCGGGGCTCAGGGTGCTGCGCAGCTTGTTTTCACCATTCGAAGTGGTCGGCTCTGTTCCTTGGGGTACGTTGTCCTCTTGCGGGGTTTCGTTTTTCTTTTTGCCTTGTAGGGGGGTCTGCCTTGCTTGCCTCTTGGTGTATGACCTGATACAGTTTTTCTGGTGGTGCCCCCTGGTAGGTCCCTGTTAGTGTACACGTCCATGGGGTTCAGTTTTAGACAGTTGATTGGTAGTTTTGGACACCGGTTAGCAGTACCCTGCTTGGGATTACCTGAGCGTGAGTTCTGTCTCAGGACCCTGGTAAACCCCAAGGGGGGGAGCGTGTGGGCCCGATGGATGTGTCCTCGGAGTCCCCCTCGCTTCGTGCAAGTTCGAGGGTTGCTCAGTCCCCTTGTCTCAGGGTGACCCTCACTGTTTTTGCCTCTGCCATGCTGCCCCCTCATCCTTCCTCTGTTGTGGTTTGTTCTACCCCCCTCCCCCCCTGCTTCAGGGCCCGAATACGTCTGAGGGTTCCGGAGTCCGTGCAGGGTTTAGATGGTCTCAAAACTCGGGTGGTCTCGGGGAAAACCTCTTCCAGTGTAGCGACGGAGGCATTCGAGTCCAATCTCCCAGCCGAAGCCTCTGGGTCTGACCAGTGGTCCCCCCTTCTGTCTGGCTTACTCGGCTGCGCCGACCTTTTCTATAGGAGCCGGTGCTTTGGGAGATGACTTGGCCCCGGGTCCTGCGGAGGAGGATCCTGGGGGGGGGGCTGACGTGGGGGCATTGGGCCCCGCTGGACGCTGCCTGGATTTTTCTGTCTTCTGAGCGGGGCTTATTGTTACAGGGAGTGGGGTTCTCTTCCCCCTCCCCTGCGTACGAGTTGGATTTGGTGTCTGCCCCTCCCCAGGTTCGGTTCCGTGTTCCCCCGGGTGCATCGATACCGTCTTTCCGGAGGTTTTCGGCTTCCCACATCCAACCGACTGCGGTGCGGGCGGCCCTTGCGGCTAACCTCCTGCGTGACCCGGATTATGCTTTGGTGATGGATCCATTGTCTTTCAGGTTTGAGACTTCGTTCCCTTTCTGGGTCCGTTACGAGGTTTCGGAGTCGTCCTGGCTGGCGGACAAAAACACGTTTTTCGCGTGTTTTGACATCCAGCCTCAGAACTGATGGGTGGATAACCGGCATGAGGGGTCTGGGGTCTGGCTAGCTCCCCCCTTTCCCCTCCCGGGAGGGGGGGAGCTGCGCAGACAGTGGCGCGGTGACGTTTGACATCATGCTCATTTGCTCGTTTCTTTTAGGAGGAGTTCAATCTACTTGTTCGGCTTTTGTAGCAATATTTTCACCAGAAAAGGTGTTTGTTTTGGGATGCTTACCTTTCTGGGTGCCAGACCCCAGTCGATGGCAGACATAGAATGCTCCCAACCACACGGGAGTTTCTATAGGCAATTGCTCCCCTTGCCTCCCTGAGGGGGTCAGGTTCTGGCTCGTGGTCTCCGGTAGGCCCACAGAACTCCATACACATGACTGATGCCAAAGTCTGACATTAGCATATCAGCCTAATAATCGTTTTCACTTGGGGGAGTTCTGTCCACTTGTTTCGTTGTTTTCGTTGGTTTCACCAGAATAGGGGTTTGTTTTGAGGCACTTACCTTTCTGGGTGTCTGTCCCGGTCGATGGCAGATATAGAGTACTCCAAATTTACATGTGTATTTCTATAGGCTATTGCTCCTCATGCCTCTCTGAGGGGGGCCAGGTTCTGGCCGTGATCCCCGGTAGGCCCTAGAATTCCACCTACATTGACTGATGCCAAAAATTAGAACTATCCCTATCAGCCTGGATTGCTCCGGGGAGCCTCCGGGACTCGCCCGGAAAATGGCATTTCATTACATTCAACGCCTTATTTTTTTGCGTCTTGTATCTTCTCTAGTCTGATGCCTCTCCGACCCCGATGAAAGCTAGTGTTGATATTCCTGATGATTATTGTATAGAATTAATAGTAGCATTTTTCTTTTATTTTTTACAGCTGCCTTGTTTTTGGAGATGTGGAAAAGATACTCTGCTGAGATCACGCACCGCTGGGACCTTACTGGCTTTGACATACAAGAAGAACATCCCCGACCCCAGTACCTTGCACGTCTTTCCCACATCAAAAAGAAAACAGTGAATATTGTTACCAAAACCCTAGAACCACGACCTCCATTCTGGAGAATGAGATTCCCTGGAGTGATGATCAGCTTGTCTACTGTGTTCTTGCTGGTGAGTTACGGCGAGACGGCGACGTTTCGATCCGTCCTGGACCATTATCACGTCATATGTGATGATGGTCCATATCCAGAAGTACATATCCTTTATGGCCCACAGGGCTGTGACTATACATAATGGAAGGGGATGATGCAGCATTTTACTGCAGGCACTATGGCGTGTTCATGGGTGATGCCCTTTTACTGCCCACAGTGCTGTTACAATAGGTAATGGAAGAGATGATGCAGTTTTACTGCATGCAATATGGTGTACTAATCGGTGACAAGGGCCAATGGGTCAGCTTAAGATGTCCACTTAGCTGGTAGCTTTCTACATCAAAAAGTTCTCATCTCTTGACCTTAGATAGTCCTAAATGCCAGGCACATAATTACTCTTTCAGTGTTCAAGATCTCAAAGATCACAATGTCATTTTTAAATTTGTTGGGGATAGAAAGCCTGTGCATATTCTCTATATACTTTAGGCTTGTATCGAGATCATCTCAAGATTGATCTGCTGACCTTTCCCAGGATGCAATCCCACAACAGTTGCCTATCTTCCACTAACCTACAATACCTGTACAGTATTTAGTTTTGAATAATATTCAGTCCCTTTTTCTTGCCATATAAGTTTGGACAGTTTGTGTTTACATTTACTTAATGTGTGTGTGTGTGTAAATGCTATGCGTATTTTCAGGTGACAATGGCTTTAGTAGCCGTGATGGCCGTAATTCTGTATCGGATGTCGGTGTTGGCCGCTCTGAGTATCCACGGAGACTCGGTCATAACATCTCATGCCATCATCTTCACGTCCACCACCGCAGCCTTCATCAACTTGATCTGTATCATGATATTTAACCAGGTTAGTCAACATTCCCACACCTGCTGACTCACAGGTTAGTAAACATTCCCACACCTGCTGACTAATAGGTTAGTAAACATTCCCACACCTGCTGACTCTCAGGTTAGTAAACATTCCCACACCTGCTGACTCACAGGTTAGTAAACATTCCCACACCTGCTGACTCTCAGGTTAGTAAACATTCCCACACCTACTGACTCACAGGTTAGTAAACATTCCCACACCTGCTGACTCACAGGTTAGTAAACATTCCCACACCTGCTGACTCACAGGTTAGTAAACATTCCCACACCTGCTGACTCACAGGTTAGTAAACATTCCCACACCTGCTGACTCACAGGTTAGTAAACATTCCCACACCTGCTGACTCACAGGTTAGTAAACATTCCCACACCTGCTGACTCACAGGTTAGTAAACATTCCCACACCTGCTGACTCACAGGTTAGTAAACATTCCCACACCTGCTGACTCACAGGTTAGTAAACATTCCCACACCTGCTGACTCACAGGTTAGTAAACATTCCCACACCTGCTGACTTTCAGGTTAAAACACAATCAAATGTGCCCATAGTAGGAAAACAGCATGTAAATGATTTGGGAATAATGATGTCAGACGACCTAATGTTTAGGGAGCATAACCAAACAAATATTGCGTCAGCCAGGAAAATGATGGGATGGATTACGAGAACTTTCCACTCCTGGGATCCCATCACAATGGTTGTACTCTTCAAGTCACTTGTGTTGTCCCGTCTTGAGTACTGCTCAGTACTCACTTCCCCCTTCACAGCAGGAGAGATTGCTGAAATAGAGGGAATACAGAGAACATATACGGCACGCATAGACGTGATAAACCACGTAAATTATTGGGATGGTCTCAAAGCCCTCCAAAAATACTCATTAGAAAGATGACGAGAGAGATATCAAATAATATACACCTGGAAGATGCTGGAGGGCCAAGTACCAAATCTACACAGTAAAATAACAACATACTGGAGTGAACGATATAGAAGAAAATGCAAAATAGAACCAGTGAAGAGCAGAGGTGCCATAGGCACAATCAGAGAACACTGTATAAACATCAGAGGTCCGCGGTTCTTCAACATCCTCCTAGCGAGCATAAGAAATATTGCCGGAATAACCGTGGACATCTTCAAGAGGAAACTAGATTGTTTCCTCCAAGGAGTGCCGGACCAACCGGGCTGTGGTGGGTATGTGGGCCTGCGGGCCGCTCCAAGCAACAGCCTGGTGGACCAAACTCTCATAACTCAAGCCTGGCCTTGGGCCGGGCTTGAGGAGTAGAAGAACTCCCAGAACCCCATCAACCAGGTATCACCCAGGGAAGGATTAGGTGCTGTATCTGCCCCTACATGAGAATTACAGGTTAATTGTTCTTATAATTCTAATCATTCACCTTTTCATACTCTCTCTCCTTTTTTTTTCTATAGATTTATGCGCAAGTGGCAGAGAAGCTCACAGAGTTGGAGCTGCAGCGGACCCAAACCGAATTTGATGACTCTCTCACGCTCAAGATTTACATGCTGCAGTTTATCAACTATTATTCGTCTATATTCTATATAGCATTCTTCAAAGGCAAGATGGTAGGATACCCCGGGGACTACAACAGAGTGTTCGGCTCCCGTCAAGAAGAGGTACTTAAGAGCATTTGCTATGAGATGCATGTTGTCGTTTTCATGTGATGGTATCTGTTGCACGTCTGTCTTGACTAGACAGTGAAGAACATTGTTCACGTCAGCTTATGGGATGTAAAAAATGAATTGTTGTACAGGATGTACAATTTCTGAGCTTAGGCCTGTCGACGACTCATGTAGCCATACAGCCTATATGGCCCAACCAGAACGCCATTCACCTCAATGTGCCACAAGATTTTTCATATGACCTTGCTATGTAACTGGGACAGGGAAACAGTTGATAAATCTCTCATTTTATTATAAATTAACTGACAGTGTAATACAATAGAAATGTTCTATATTTTCAAAACCACCTCGCAAGCAATAAGTGGAAGCCCAGGAAACAAAATTATCACTCTGCAAAACTGTTAGGAACTAAAAATTATTCTGACTGCCACCAGGTGTTGACACCAAATGGGCCTCACCTGCTGTCTTTGGCATACCTCTTGTTGGGTGCAAGGTTGCTTCCCTCCTCATGTGACGCCAGTGTTGTTGTAGACATTGGTGCTACTGGAGTTTCTGAGCACTTGTGTACGTTGCTTTCTGACTTCTGTGGTGAGCCCTATGCCATTTAATCTTCTTTTAAATGTTGTCGTTTATGGCACGAGGAACTCATCTCAGAAAAGGAGCATTTGTTCAATAAAATAACCGTCTCAGTTCCCGCTGCTGGTTGATGAAATTTTTCGGGCGGTTGATGGAACATGTATTGTATTACCTTTGGGCTTCCTTTTGGCACCAGTATGACCTGACGGGGTTCGTTTCAGCAGTTCTTGGTGCTCCGCCAGTTGTCGTTGTGTGGTGGTGCGCATGTCCTTTTTCTCCTGATTATTTGTTGCTTGCTACATCATATCACATACCATCACATCCTACCAGTCTGCACTGTTGGAGTCAACAGTTCTTGGATTTCAGCACTGATTTGTTGTTTGCCCTTTCTTGCTTCTTCATCTGCAAGTTTTGTCCTTTGGATGTGCAGATTGGATTATATCATCTTTCTTTTAATTCAGAGGCTCTTTCTTAACCCTTAGCCACTTGCCTCAGTTCTAAGACTCGTCTTGTATTAGGTAATTAAGCTCAGCCAACTGCCCAGTGCTTACCTGTCTCTTCGTGAATTCTTTAAACTTGACACACTCACTGTCTTCTGATATCTAGGACCATAGCTCTGGAGGTCGACCCACACCTTCCCCATCAAAATTTTGTCATTGGTCTCTAGTTCTCGGTAGCTGTGTGTCACCCTTGGCCATCACTCGTCAGTCTTACTTGTGTATGACTGCAGGTTCCCATGTTCGTCACTGTTGGGTTTCTCCTTCCCGTGGCCTTCATCAAGCCTATGCGTATGGGGCAATGGAAGCAACTGAGGGTCCGTATCTCAGAAATGGAGCATTTGTTGTAATTACCTAAGTGTAGTTACAGGATGAGAGCTACGCTCGTGGTGTCCCATCTTCCCAGTGCTCTTTGTCATATGACGCTTTGAAATTACCACCTTTTCACCTAACTTGCTCCAACCGTCTACCACTATTTGCAAAAGTGAATTTTCTCATATTTCTTCGGTAGTTTTGTTTAGTTAGTTTAAATCTGTGACCTCTTGTTCTTGAAGTTCCAGGTCTCAGGAATTCTTCCCTATCGATTTTATCGATTTCCGTTACTATTTTGTACGTAGTGATCATGTCGCCTCTTTTTCTTCTATCTACTAGTTTTGGCATATTTAATGCCTCTAACCTCTCCTCATAGCTCTTGTCCTTCAGTTCTGGGAGCTATACAGTTGCATGTCATTTGCACCTTTTTCCAGTTTGTTGATGTGCTTCTTAAGATATGCTGTGTAAAATAACTTTTGTTCATTCTTTCCCAAGTATGTTTGGATGGTGGGTGGTGGTTCAAAGATTCATGGTGGGTGGTGGCATTAACAAATAGATGCCTGCTTCCCTGTCCTTATGGTTTGCTTTCCTGACCCTGGCCATCAGACTGGGAGTCTGATGGCCGAGTACTGGGGCCTGACGGCTGAGTTGACAGCGCTCAGGATTCATAGTCATGAGGTTCTGTGTTCGGTCCCCGGTGGAGGCGGAAACAAATGGGCAAAGTTGCTTTCACCCAGATGGGCCTGTTCACCTAGCAGTAAATAGGTTCCTGGGAGTTAGGCAGCTGCTACGGGCTGCTTCCTGGGGGTGTGTAACAAAAAGGAGGCCTGGTTAAGGACCGGGCTGCGGGGACGCTAAGCCCCGAAATCATCTCAAGATAACCTACTGAAGTAGTTCCTTGAATCTTTTATCAAGATGGTCATGGCAGGTGATGATACCCTGGGGCAGTGCTGCTAGTATACTCTTATTGACACTTGTCGAGTGATGATTATTATTCCTTGGGTTTCTAATAATTTGGGGTTTCTAATAATTGCTTGGAGTTGATGTTGAGTGTGTTGAACATTCTCGTATTACAGTGTAATATGAGAATGTATTTCTCATTTGTCGTTGTCAATTGAACAATGGTGGATTAGGTTAGTCTCCTTGTCCCAAGTACGTAATATGTGGTGAGGTCATGTGAAAAGTGGGTTGTTAGGAGTAGGGGCCAGATTCACGAAGCAGTTACGCAAGTACTTATGAACGTATACATCTTTGCTTAATCTTTAACGTATTTGGTTACATTTATTAAATAGTTTACAAGATGAACACTTCCCAATCAACTGTTCTTATTGTTATAAACAGCCTCCTGGTGCTTCGGAGGTCATTAACACTTTGGTGCACCCCGCTCGCCACCCCTCAACTGTGCGATATGGGACCCAGGGTGTCACGGGAGTGCGCGTAAAATCTGAAAAGTGTATACTTTCTTCAACTTTGTCACCTTAATTCTCGTCCTACGAGATTAAGTTTGGTATCATTGTGTTCGCAATAGAATTCTCTACAGTACTAAATGCATATAAACTCCAAAAGCCCGGCTAATTACCCGCAGCAAACAGAGAAAGTGCGAACGAGTTACCCAGGAGCGCGCAAACGCGATAAAATGTTTTCACTATTTTCACTCTGGTCACCTCAATTTTTATCCTAGGTCTTTCATTTTGGTATCAATGGGTTCGCAATAGAATTCTCTAGAGGAACATTAGCATATCAAATAAAAAACCTGGTCATGCTCCAACCGCCGACGAGTTGAAGACGGGCCACGCGTTAGCCGCGAGTGAGTTCTCAGCCGCCTTCCACCTACACTCCCAATTCCCGCCCTTTTCAAGCCTTTCTTTCGCAATTTTCTTCCTGGAAGGGCCTTGTTCATGATCACTATCCATCGTGGAGTAAGCGTAGATAGTTTCTAAAGCCGCAGTAAGAAATATAGCCACGGAAAATTGGCGAAATGTTCACACGTTTGAGATGCGAGGGGAGGCGACATTGGTCACAACAGTGGAGCGAAAGCAATGGGCCCACGGCATGTGCCAAGCCGCCTGACGGCCACGAGGCTCAACAAGGAAAATGGGAAGACATCGGCGCGCATTTTAAAACCAGTCCCAAAAAAATCGGATAAAAACCTGATTTTTGACGATTATTTAAAGTGGATGACGCAATGCTGCGTCATCCCCGGAATTACCGCCAGTAAACAGATGACGCAATGCTGAGTCATGCCCGGGCGAAAGTGTTAACTGTTTAATAATTGTAAACAAAGCCGCCAAAGATTAAGAAAAGATGTACAGGTTCGTAAGTGCTTGCGTAACTGCTTCGTGAATCTGGACCCTGGTGGTGAATGGTGTCGTGGGTGAAGCGCACACAGGCTATGACTGAAGGAGAACCCGAGGTAACAGCTCCGATAAAAACATTTCGTGCACTCAGTGATCCATTGTTTAAATAGTAGTTTAGCAATATTAAACATCCTTTTCCATTTTAAGTATAGTATCCACTCGATTTAACGGCCTCTTATTTACTGATCTGCCAGTTCCATCGACCGGTTTGGGAGACCGGTATCTGGAGCCTCATATACCGATCTGGTGGTCAATAGAACCGTAGTCTAGTATTGGGTTTGTTTTGGTATCAGCGGGCCCCTCACATGGCAAACAGGACGCCGACCTCTATTGTCCCCCCTCTCTCACCCTCTCTCGGTGCAGCTTTTCCCCTCACCCTCACTTCCTGCCTCCCCATCCCCCCCCCCAAGAGACCCTTCTGGGAGGTGGCTCAGTAGACTGGAGTGAGCCCATCCCCCCCCCCCCAACATTCCATACACACACACACACACACAGTTTCACTGGTCACGTAGTTCATCTCAACCACCACCCATCCATCCATCCATCCATCCATCCATCCCCCTCCCTCCCTCCCTCCCTCCCTCCCTCCCTCCCTCCCTCCCTCCCTCCCTCCCTCCCTCCCTCCCTCCCTCCATCCATCCATCCATCCATCCATCCCTCCCTCCCTCCCTCCCTCCCTCCCTCCCTCCCTCCCTCCCTCCCTCCCTCCCTCCCTCCCTCCATCCATCCATCCATCCATCCATCCATCCATCCATCCATCCCTCTATCCATCCCTCTATCCATCCCTCTATCCATCCATCCATCCATCCATCCCTCCCTCCCTCCCTCTATCCATCCCTCTATCCATCCCTCTATCCATCCATCCCTCTATCCATCCATCCATCCATCCATCCCTCCATCCATCCATCCATCCATCCATCCATCCATCCATCCATCCATCCCTCCATCCATCCCTCCATCCATCCATCCATCCATCCATCCATCCATCCATCCATCCATCCATCCATCCATCCATCCATCCCTCCATCCATCCATCCATCCATCCATCCATCCATCCCTCTATCCATCCCTCCATCCATCCATCCCTCTATCCATCCATCCATCCATCCATCCATACCCCCCTCCATCCATCCATACCCTCCCTCCATCCATCCATCCCCTCCATCCATCCATCCATCCCCACCTCCATCCATCCATCCCCCCTCTATCCATTCCCCAATCCCTCCCTCCATCCATCCATCCATCCCTCTATCTATACATCCATCTCCATCCATCCCCCCCTCCATCCATCCATCCTCCATCCATCTGGATGTGGTGGAGGCTGACTCCTTACACAGTTTCAAGTGTAGATATGATAGAGTCCAGTAGGCTCAGGAACCTGTACACCAGTTGATTGACAGTTGAGAGGCGGGACCAAAGAGCCAGAGCTCAACCCCCGTAAACACAACTAGGTGAGTACATCCATCCATCCCTCCCTCCATCTCTCCCTCCATCCCTCCCTCCATCCCTCCCTCCCACCATCCCGGGAGCCGGTCGGCCGAGCGGACAGTACGCGGGACTTGTGATCCTGTGGTCCTGGGTTCGATCCCAGGCGCCGGCGAGAAACAATGGGCCGAGTTTCTTTCACCCTATGCCCCTGTTACCTAGCAGTAAAATAGGTACCTGGGTGTTAGTCAGCTGTCACGGGCTGCTTCCTGGGGGTGGAGACCTGGTCGAGGACCGGGCCGCGGGGACACTAAAAAGCCCCGAAATCATCTCAAGATAACCTCAAGATAACCTCAAGAATCCCTCCCACCATCCCTCCCACCATCCCTCCCACCATCCTTCCCTGCATCCATCCCTCCATCCATTTCTCCACCCCTTCCTCTATCCATCCATCCATCACTCCATGCATCCCTCCATCCATCCATCCACCCCTCCATCTATCCATCCCTCCATCTATCCATCCCTGCCTGCCTGCCTGCCCATCCACCCACCAGTCAGCCACCACTGACACAATGAGTGCATTTGGAGCCAACATGGTGCACGGATGTTCCTTGATTGTGCCGATATGTCCAACAAAGTCATGGAATGAACACTCCAGCCTCATGACAAATCTAAACAATGTGCCGTGACTCTGTGACGTCACAGGGTAGAAGGCACTAGAGTGGTGGACCAAGTGGCTGTCTGTACAAAATATATCTTACCTGAATGTTTTTTGAAATACTACCGACACTTAACAACTTCAGAAATACCGGAGCCCCGCATTTAACGACCTGGTTACAACCCCATATAGGCCGTTAAATTGAGTGGATACTGTAATGCATAAAGTTAAACCCAGTTTGAAATAATGTCAAAGTTAACCAATAGCATGACTGGTAGAGCACGAGCCAATAAAGCCCACCAACACCAACAGTGCTCACCTGGCGGGTGCCTGTTGGAACTGTCGGTGCAGCTGGCCATCATCATGATCGGCAAACAGGCCATGAACACGTGCATGGAGATGGTCATCCCCTTACTCTGGAAATGGTACAACATGCTCACTGTCCCAGAGCAGCAGCGCGAGGCCCACAATCGTTGGCCACGCTGGGCCAAGGACTTCCGCCTGGTCAACTTTGATCCCCGAGGGCTCTTTCCCGAGTATTTGGAGATGGGTAAGTACTGCATAAGATGGTCCCTTGATGTGATGCTTATATTCAATTTCATTTATCCAGTGTGCAACAGAGTGGCATTTTTGCACTGTGTATTATGTATCGAGCTGCTCCAGTGCTGTACGGTATTTTTATTGCTCTGATTGAAAAAACTTGAATTTGTTTTGTCCCGTGTCATTCCACAAAGGCGTTAGTGACAAACTTTGGTGTAACCAAATTAGAAGGTGTAAGGTTTTAGTTTTGCCATGCACTCTAATAATCTAAAGCATTATGAAACAAAGGAAAAACACCCCTTTTGTAAGCTCTTTTTAAAAATGCACCTTAAAAACCCATTGTCCTTTGTGTGTCTTTGTAGTGGTTAGGTAATAAAGAATTAAAAATATGCTGGGTTATCAATTGAGAGATTCCTGTAATCTCTTAAGAGAAGACAAAATTCAAGTTTTTTAATATCAATATTCTATATTTTGGTTTAACTTGTGCAATAAAATACAGTACTGTACCCTTAAGTACTGTACAGGCTCTTAATAACCCTCAGTTATTAATAATAAACCTTAAACAGCTCAGCTAATTAAAAGTCATACATTGTGGAGCACATGACAAAAATATTTCACAAATCTAATGTAAAAAAAAAAATCACACATTGCAATTAGAGGACGGGAAGGTAATCAAGCCTAATGACTGGAGCCTTTTAAGGGTTAATGATGCAATGATACATCAGTTAGATAGCACTCTTGGCTTGTTGTAGTGTAAGTGTGATGTTTCCAAATGTTGCTTGAAATAAACTTTCACCCATGCATTCACTCTGTTCTGATCTTCCGGTGTTTGACTGGGAGCCGTCGCCTCAGCATTTCAGAGAATAATAAAATACACGGTTATAAGATCATTTTAAATGTTTTCTTCGCGCAATAAGTCATTAGGGGCCTGGTCGAGGACTGGGCCGCAGGGACGCTAAGCCCCAAAACCATCTCAAGGGTGTCTCTCTCTCCCTTGCTGTGCCCACTTGAACTGCAGTATGTTGGAGTTCACTGGGGTGTGCTGGAGTTCACTGGGGTGTGCTGGAGTTCACTGGGGTGTGCTGGAGTTCACTGGGGTGTGCTGGAGTTCACTGGGGTGTGCTGGAGTTCACTGGGGTGTGCTGGAGTTCACTGGGGTGTGCTGGAGTTCACTGGGGTGTGCTGGAGTTCACTGGGGTGTGCTGGAGTTCACTGGGGTGTGCTGGAGTTCACTGGGGTGTGCTGGAGTTCACTGGGGTGTGCTGGAGTTCACTGGGGTGTGCTGGAGTTCACTGGGGTGTACTGGAGTTCACTGGGGTGTGCTGGAGTTCACTGGGGTGTGCTGGAGTTCACTGGGGTGTGCTGGAGTTCACTGGGGTGTGCTGGAGTTCACTGGGGTGTGCTGGAGTTCACTGGGGTGTGCTGGAGTTCACTGCCATTGTGGGATCTATTGAGTTAATGATGTTAGATTTTTATGTCGTGTATAGTTTTGTGTCGTTAAGACTGGATGAATTTCGTGTTTTAGGAATAATTCGATAGCAGTAAATTCAGATAAGAGGAGCATACAAAATCAAATCTAAGTCAAATCTAAGAATTTCTTTTAACTATGAATACTGGTATACTAGTGGAGGAGTTTCACATATGCTTCAATGTTCAATCTCGATTCGGTGAATAATATGGGGGCCAACCCCAATTCATTGTATCTGGTGATTCGTTGCAACTACAGGTGCCTTATAGAGTGTGATGTAAATTAATTTTTATAAAACAAGATAGCTACAATTTTATTCCTGAAGCATCCGTAGACTTCTTTCATCAACAGTACCTTCCTTCCTACATTCGGTGGTTCCCCACTATTCCTTCCATTTCCTTGGCTCTTCTATTTATCATCTCTTTTTCTCTTTATTAATCCATTTGCTCTTACATTCAATTGCAGTCGACCAATTCTTTGTAAATGTTCAGTTTTGGTGCATTGAGTTATTTGGCAGAGAGTTTGAACTTTTCTTATGAACTGGAAGTCGTCGCGCATGAGCGTGAATCGGAACTGACTGCCTGAATGTTGTAACTAATTAAATAATTATTTTTTATTTAGTTACTGTTGAGCAGTGCTTGCAAGTGGTGATTTTTACAAAATTCTTAAAAACATGGAGGCCAAGTCTTTCAGTTGCACATAACGGCCATTTTACCATGTTTATGGTCAGGAGGCCTGGTCAGAGACCGGGCCGCTTGGACGTTGATCCTTAGAATCACCACAAAGTAACCGCAATTTACTTTACACACAGCTTACAAGTAACGACCTTTGAGCTTTATAGAAAATAGTTTCCCTTATACTGTACTTCCACTGTGCAAATTTTTGAACTTCTCAAAAAGGTTCATTCTTGTAAATCATAATTACTGCATTTTGAGACGTGTAAGATGCACCTAATTTAGCAGAATATTTTGTGGAATTATTTTATTGTTTCATACATTGATTGAAAGTGATTTACACGTTGTTTTGTGCAGGAAAACATATGATTTTATGTATATTACAGTATATAAAGTCATGTGTCCTTTCCAAAAGCAGATATGGTGCTTAGTTAAAAGGTAAAGTGAGTAATATATAAAATGATGCTTTTATCCTCTCGAGCAAGTCATCATTCATTTTTGGCTTTCACTTTTCATTTAAACCAGTTGTTGAAATTGTTGCATATGACTTCCCAGCTATCAAGCATACATGGTCATTCACACACCTGGAGGTTACTGTAAGGGAGATGCCAAGGATTCATGTCCCGGCGGCCCAGTCTCTGACCAGGCCTCTTGGCTGGTGGTCTGGGGCCAGATTCATGAAGCAGTTGCACAAGTACTTACGAAAGTGTACATCTTTCCCTTAATCTTTGACGGCTTTGGATACATTTATTAAACAGTTTACAAGCATGAAAACTTCCAAATCAACTGTTGTTATTGTTATAAACGGCCTCCAAATGCTTTGGAGCTCTTTAACTGTTTAATAATTGTAAATAAAGCTGCCAAAGATTGAGAAAAGATGTACAGATTCGTAAGTGCTTGCATAACTGCTTCTTGAATCTGGCCCCCTGGCCTCTTGGCTTGTGGTCTGGTCAATCAGCCTGTTAGATGCTGTTGGAGTCCGATGTGCAAATTACAGCCCAGTTATAGGTATATGAGCAGTTTTTCAGGAATGACTAACTTTCATTTGTTTTCCTCCATTTGTTCATAAAAATTAAATGGTCATTGTAAATGTTAGAAGTTTGGCGGTTAATGTTTAGGGGGTTACCTTGAGGTTGATCGAAGGATCACAATCGACTTGATAATGGTCCAGGACGGACGAAACGTCGTCGTCTCTTCACTTTCTAGTACTGTATGTGGTTTGGTCAACATCAATGCATACATGGCCTGGTCTCTAACCAGGCCTCCTGGTTGTTTTCCTTGTGAATCAGGCTGTTGGACACCATTGCATGCAGTCTGAATCACAGCCCAGTTGATCAGGTATCATTTGGAGGTGTTATCAAGTTCTCTTTTGAACACCATGAGAGGTCGGCTAGTCGTGACCTTTGTGTTTAGAGGGAGAGTGTTGATAAGGCTTGGGCTCTTTATGGTGATAAAATTGTCTCTTAGTGCACCAGTTGCTGAAAAAGACACAATACACAAGACCTTGTAAATTTCCTATTGCTTAAGTCACGATAAATTATTCAGTTGTTGAGGGCCTTAAGGCTGATGTTAAGTAATTGTCATGAGCCTGGGGCTAGAGGTACAGTACAACAGAGCAGGTTCTGGCCACAAGACATCAGGAAACGCATCACTTTTCAACAGATTACCAGGTCATGTTAACCCTTAAGTGGCTCGGCTAATAAAAAGACATGCATCATAGTGCACACAGCACATACCAGTTCTAAGACCTTATGTAAAAAATAATCAATGCACATGCACAGGAAGTAATCATAAGTTGCGACTGGAGCCACGTAAGGGTTAATATAATACACCCAAGCTAACTAAACCTATCTTGTCTGAAATGCCTTGGCTGTAATATGAGAATAATGCTGCCATTCAAGCCCCAACTAACGTACCTCATGTTTCAGTGGGTCCTGCTTAATTTGATGTAGCTAATTTCAAGATAACGTTATTCTAGAATAGATACAAATACTGTATTAGACCACCCTCTTGCAAAGCACCCTGGGTTTTTATTATAATAATTTTTTTATGTAAAAAATATGCAGACAAAGAACATAATACAGTGGTTGCTTATTTGTTACATAAAGGTGCATATTTAATAATGCCTCTAGTACGAGTAGATGGAATTTTTTTTTTTTTTTTGCTCGAAACAAATGCGATAATTTTGTTCATTATATTTTGGCTATAGATATGATGTTTTATTAGTGAAAACATGGTACTGTATTTGCTGCTGTGCACATTTTGATAGTTAAACCCCTAAGAAAATGTACTGTAGAAATATTTTTTTAAATTCTTGTCTTAAGTTTTTCAGTACTGTACTTTATTCTAACGCGGCCCTGCTCAGCCATAACAATTTGTTTCATCTTTGAAACATCACGTTAATGTGATTACTTTGTACAAAGCAATTTGTTATTGTAAGAGGATTTGCGACTGCGTCGGATCAACTCCGTTGCATTTCGTTTCCGTTAGCACGGATCCGTTCCCTTTGGGTCACAGTGTATTGATGTACAGTAATAATGCACCACAAAATACCTGGGAGTCAAACAACACAAATTTTTTGTTGTTTTTATGCCAATAATTAAAAATATTGTATTACAAATATTGATGTAGAGAAGGCAGCCATTTTTTTTAAAGATGCTTTTTTAGAGTTAGGCACAATTTGTTCATAGAGTTAGGCACAATTTGTTCATAGAGTTAGGCACAATTTGTTCATAGAGTTAGGCACAATTTGTTCAATATGAGCTCAAGCTGGATTGCTTCTGGCTTCAGCGGTGTTATACGTGTTCTGCCTCATAAATTTTAACTTAGTGTTTCAAATAAACAGGAATTTTCAAATTTTCTCTTTCTTCGTTTAATAAGGCCTTTATATACAATATCATTCAGTATGTGAATAGTTGAGATTGCGTGATAAAGCTGTACGCCATCTTGATAATAGGTCTTCACAACAGGTTTAGGCCATCCGCTCCTCCCCATGGGGTGCAAACCAAGCTACCTTCACAGGGGTAAGCTCTTTGGCGCCACAAGCGTGAGTTGGCAACCTCCCACAGTCCTCAGCTTGAGTGATACCCTAAACGACTTACCAGATGCATTTGATACTGGTTTTATTAGAGCTTAAAAATATACCCTGTGAGTGGAAGTTTCAGTTTACGTCCAGAGAATGTCATAATAACATTGCTGGTAAATTAGTAATCCCACTAACACACGATATGAGAAGAAAAAGTGATGAGGTTTTGGTCCATCCTCGACCCGTATTGAGAAGGGTCCAGGACAGACTGAAACGTCATCGCTTGCATTTCGTATATGCGTGGATTGGGTTACTAATTTTCCAATTTTTTCATTTAATGTGAAAGTTGTTATATACAAGTCTCTAGTGATTAAAATAAACGAGTTTAGATAAAATTTTATTTTGTGCAAAATAAACGATTTGCATTGCTGAACGTCATCGGAAGAGTAATTGCTTGATTTTACATAAGGCAAGATTATTTTTGGCCTGAAAATTTTTCTGATTCCATTCTTAAAAGGCTTTCAGTTACTGCATTATATTTTTTCACCTTGTTTCTTGCCACTAACTTTCTACTACCATACGGTCAACTTAGGGTTTTACATTGAGATTTGTCCTGTGATATTTCTCATCATGGAAATTAATGCAACATTAGGATCCTTTGGAAAATAGGCCAGACCTGAAGCACGGAGGTTAGTGGAGACCTCTAGCACGGAGGTCAGTGGAGACCTCTAGCACGGAGGTCAGTGGAGACCTCTAGCACGGAGGTTAGTGGAGACCTCTAGCACGGAGGTCAGTGGAGACCTCTAGCACGGAGGTCAGTGGAGACCTCTAGCACGGAGGTCAGTGGAGACCTCTAGCACGGAGGTCAGTGGAGACCTCTAGCACGGAGGTTAGTGGAGACCTCTAGCACCTCCATATTCATCAAGAACTGTAAAAAACCACTATCGCAGGCCCTTCACATTCTGTGGAGACAAAGCCTAGATACTGGCGTTATCCCTGACATACTAAAAACAGCAGAGATACAAACAAAACGCTGATGTAATTTACACAGATTTCGCAAAAGCTTTTGATAAATGTGACCATGGTGTTATTGCACATAAAATGCGTTCAAAAGGAATTACCGGGAAAATAGGCAGATGGATCTACAATTTCCTGACTAACAGAACCCAATGTGTAATAGTCAACAAAATAAAATCCAGCCCATCAACCGTGAAGAGCTCAGTCCCCCAAGGTACTGTGCTTGCTCCAGTACTTTTTCTCATCCTCATATCGGACATAGACCAGAACACAACCTATAGCACTGTATCATCCTTTGCAGATGACACTAGGATTTTCATGAGAGTTGGCAACATAGAGGACACGGCAAACCTCCAATCAGATGTAGATCAGGTCTTTCTATGGGCTACAGAAAATAATATGGTGTTTAATGAGGATAAGTTCCAGCTCATGCGCTATGGAAAAAATGAAAATATAAAAACAGAAACCACGTACAAAACTCAGGCAAATTATAACATAGAACGAAAAGGCAATGTAAAGGATCTGGGTATACTCATGTCGGAAGACCTTACCTTTAAAGAACACAATAAAGTAGCCGTCACAACTGCAAGAAAAATGACAGGTTGGATAACAAGAACTTTTCACACTAGAGATGCTATACCGATGATGATACTTTTCAAAACGCTTGTGCTCTCTAGAGTGGAGTACTGCTGCACAATGACAGCCCCTTTCAAAGCTGCAGAAATTGCTGACCTAGAGAGCGTGCAGAGATCCTTTACTGCTAGAATCCACTCAGTAAAACATCTAAATTACTGGGACCGACTAAAGAGCCTAAATCTGTACTCCCTTGAGCGCAGGCGGGAGAGATACATAATAATTTACACGTGGAAAATAATTGAGGGGCTGGTCCCAAACCTGCACACAGAAATAACACTACATGAGACCAGAAGACATGGCAGGATGTGCAGAATACCCCCGTTGAAGAGCAGAGGTGCAACAGGTACTCTGAGAGAGAACTCTATCAACATCAGAGGCCCGAGACTGTTCAACACGCTTCCACTACACATAAGGGGCATAACTGGCACCCCTCACAGTGTTCAAGAGAGAACTGGATAAGCACCTCCAAAGGATACCTGATCAACCAGGCTGTGACTCATACGTCAGGCTGCGAGCAGCCGCGTCCAACAGCCTGGTTGATCAGTCCGGCAACCAGGAGGCCTGGACGACAACCGGGCCGCGGGGACACTAAGCCCCGGAAGCACCTCAAGGTAGGTAGCACGGAGGTCAGTGGAGACCTGAAGCACGGAGGTCAGTGGAGACCTGAAGCACGGAGGTCAGTGGAGACCTGAAGCACGGAGGTCAGTGGAGACCTGAAGCACGGAGGTTAGTGGAGACCTCTAGCACGGAGGTTAGTGGAGACCTCTAGCACGGAGGTTAGTGGAGACCTCTAGCACGGAGGTTAGTGGAGACCTCTAGCACGGAGGTTAGTGGAGACCTCTAGCACGGAGGTTAGTGGAGACCTCTAGCACGGAGGTTAGTGGAGACCTCTAGCACGGAGGTTAGTGGAGACCTCTAGCACGGAGGTTAGTGGAGACCTCTAGCACGGAGGTTAGTGGAGACCTCTAGCACGGAGGTTAGTGGAGACCTCTAGCACGGAGGTTAGTGGAGACCTCTAGCACGGAGGTTAGTGGAGACCTCTAGCACGGAGGTTAGTGGAGACCTCTAGCACGGAGGTCAGTGGAGACCTCTAGCACGGAGGTTAGTGGAGACCTCTAGCACGGAGGTTAGTGGAGACCTCTAGCACGGAGGTTAGTGGAGACCTCGAGCACGGAGGTCAGTGGAGACCTCTAGCACGGAGGTCAGTGGAAACCTGAAGCATGGAGGTCAGTGGAGACCTCTAGCACGGAGGTCAGTGGAGACCTCTAGCACGGAGGTCAGTGGAGACCTCTAGCACGGAGGTCAGTGGAGACCTCTAGCACGGAGGTCAGTGGAAACCTGAAGCACGGAGGTCAGTGGAGACCTCTAGCATCGAGGTCAGTGGAGACCTCTAGCACGGAGGTCAGTGGAAACATGAAGCACGGAGGTCAGTGGAGACCTCTAGCACGGAGGTCAGTGGAAACATGAAGCACGAAGGTCAGTGGAGACCTCTAGCACAGAGGTTAGTGGAGACCTGAAGCACGGAGGTCAGTGGAGACCTCTAGCACGGAGGTCAGTGGAGACCTCTAGCATGGAGGTCAGTGGAAACATGAAGCACGGAGGTCAGTGGAGACCTCTAGCACAGAGGTTAGTGGAGACCTGAAGCACGGAGGTCAGTGGAGACCTCTAGCACGGAGGTCAGTGGAGACCTCTAGCACGGAGGTTAGTGGAGACATGAAGCACGGAGGTCAGTGGAGACATGAAGCACGGAGGTCAGTGGAGACCTCTAGCACAGAGGTCAGTGGAGACCTGAAGCACGGAGGTCAGTGGAGACCTCTAGCATGGAGGTTGCCCATCTCCTAGGTACCTATTTACTGGTAGATAAGGAAACATACTCAACCATTTCTGTCACGCCCAGGAATCGAACCTGGGATCCCTGATTGTGCTTCAAGAATGGACTGTTTTTCATTAGATGAAGAACACCTTAAAATTTTGTCCATGCTAAGACTTTCTATGAGATTGAATGATGCAATTAAAGCACCGTTTAATGATGGTCTGGTAATAATATCGCATAGCAGAACTGATCATACGGATTGAAATGTAAACTTGCCTATAACTGAAAATGAACCACATAGAATATCTTTATGGTATCGATTTTTAATTTGATTATATTTGAACTATGTATATTAAAGTAGTGTAAAACCAGGAGTTGACTAAACTAGTTAGTTTAACATATGTTAATTTACTTCTCCTAAGTGTGCTTCGTTGTGTAAACTTTTAGACTGACCATTTCTAACATACGAGAGAGATTTGTGTGTGTGTGTGTGTCTGTCCTTGCAATATAACAGCAAGGGGACAAACTAACTTGAACCCTTTGGTCCCTGGCTTCCTCTATACCTTAAAACTCCATGAGAGAACATGTTCAGAACACATATCACTCTACCTTTTACTCTGGCTTTCACTAGCTTTCATTTTAGCTGTCACTCTAGATACAGTATCAATACTTTACTGCATGTGTAAATCTTTAAACTGGGCTATTATTTACACACATTTTACGTTCACATGTATTTCCACAAGATTTGAAAATTAAGGTTTTAGCCATTCAGATACTGTATACATGTAGGGAGTCGGTCGGCCGAACGGACAGCACACTGGACTTATGATCCTGTGGTCCCGGGTTCGATCCCGGGTGCCGGCGAGAAACAATGGGCAGAGTTTCTTTCACCCTATGCCCCTGTTACCTAGCAGTAAAATAGGTACCTGGGTGTTAGTTAGCTGTCACGGGCTGCTTCCTGGGGGTGGAGGCCTGGTCGAGGACCGGGCCGCGGGGACACTAAAGACCTGAAATCATCTCAAAATAACCTCAAGATAAGATGTATATACAGAGTTTATGTATTGTGGTGTGTTGGCGAGGTGTGACTGGTGGCCCTGTAGCGGTCAGAACAGTCATCTCACAAATGATTGGTTCCAGGTTCAGTTTGTGGATGGGGCGAGATGTTTGGGCACATTGCCTTGCTCTTGATGCCTCTGCTCACCTTCTAACAAATAGGTACATGGGAGTTAGCTAACTGTTGGGGGATTGCATTCTTGGGAAGGCCAGTCATTAGCCTAGGGGGGGTGGGCCTCTATAAGCCTGACAGGGTTCCTCTTCCTGACAGTGAAGGGGGGGATGTAGTTTGTAATTACCAAAGTGTAGTTACAGGATGAGAGCTACGCTCATTGTGTCCCGTCTTCCTAGTACTCTGTCATATAATGCTTTGAAACTACTGACGGTTTTGGCGCCCGTCACCTTCTCACCCAACTTGTTCCAACCGTCTCCTGCTCTGTGAAAGAAAATTTTCTAATATTTTTTCATCACCTTTGTTT